CATAAAGATTCATTTTTATAAATAGCGCCTAAATTTTAGTATAATGAGCAATTATTTTAATGGTGGATTTTGCTATTCTTTAATTCAAGGCGTTTTTCTCTCTCAATATACTTTGAGTAGTGAGAACCGATTTTTATTATCTCCTGTGTCAAGTCCCGTATAGTGGCGAACTAGGGGATGAATCCGGGTTTGCGAACTTTCCGGTAACCGATTTCAATAAAAAAAAATAATTATATGTAATTCCACGTACTTTCGAGGTCAGTTTTTTTAGTACTCTATACTGAGATTATTAGATTTTAGGATAGATTGCAACATCATGTTCCAAGGAGCTTTAAAAGATTTTCAAGTTTTTCTGAACATTAAAGCTTGATTTGATGTAGGTTCGTATTTAAGTCATGATTTCTAACAGAAAAAAAATCGCTATTTTTTATTTTATTTTACGTGGAATATTTGACTTCATTAAAATAAGGCCTCTTTACCGGATACATGTGGCGTCTAAAGTGCCGAATTATTTTGAGTTTACTGAAATTTAACTGCTGAATTAAAACAAGTCCCTTATTGATATTTCGTTTTCATATTACAATATTATTTTTAACTAAACATCTCGTATAACATTTTATATTTTAGAAATTAAACTATTTTTTTCGGGTCTAAATCGCGTGTATTTGTTTCTTTAAACAATCCAACGGTTTTAGCGCTAAAGAACATTCCCTTTTACGCTATATTCATATGGGGAGAAAAACGCCCCAGAGGGAGACCGCAGAAGCGATTGGAAGGACGACATAAAGAAAAATACAAGTGGCATAGAACTGAGAGAAGTGGTAGAAACTGAAAGATACCTACACCGATATGAAGAAAGATAATTTTATATACCATTTATGTTGTAATATAAAACAAAAATGTATTCAATGATATTGTTTAAAATAACGATTTCGTAGTCTTGTCACACTTTGGCATAAGTCGTTCAAAGACGGAAGATCAAAGTGGGCATCAATAAACATGTCCCGAACTCTCGTGGGACAGACAGACATACAAACAAGTACAAATGAATTTATTTACTTTGAGTGCTTCGATTGTATCAGGAAGCAGAGTGTGGAGAGGTAAGTGATTGTGTGATCGTGGTTAGTTTTCTTAACCTTTTTAAGGTTTAAGGTAACACCTTATTTTGTTTTAGTTAGTGCAAGTACACAGGACTAACGTAATGATAGCACTGAACATGGCTATTTGTAATCATCATCATATCAGCCGGAAGACATCCACTGCTGAACATAGGCCCCCAAAGATTGCCAGACTAACCGGTCCGACGCGACGTGGATCCATCGGTTATCCGCCGCCCTTACCAGGTCATCCGTCCTTCTAGTTCCGTCTCACTAAACGCCTTCCGGTTCGTGGTATCCATTCGAGAACCTTTTTGTCTCAACGGCCGTCAGTTCTACAAGCTATGTCGGTAACTAACGTTCTTCTACGGATCTCCTCATTTCTGATTGGATCACATAGATGCCGAGCGTTGCTTGCTCCGTAGATCGTTATTTGAGCTTTTTCATGAGGCCTGTAGTAAGTGACCACGTCTCAAAGCCGTAGGTCATCGCTGGCAATACGCACTCCTCGGAGACTTTTGCCTTCAAGGAATTGCAGACGAGAAGACGTCCCGGAGCTTACCGAAAGCAGTCCATCCGAGTTGGATTCGACGATTTTTGTAATCGCTATTGGGTTTTTGTTGTAATTGGAAAAATATTTGACGTACAAACATGAGGATACTAACAAATGTGACCGTCTACAGATGGAGTCAAATAAGGGCTTAAAGTAATGATTATGGCCCTAGTGTGAACGCTTTATTTCACTTCGCTTCGAGAAACCAACTAGCGCGCGGTAACGCGTGTTTATTGTTCGCTGTATTTGTCGAATAGACAAACGAGGCAAATACTTTGTCCCATATGCTGTCAACACGTGGTGATTGTTTGCCAAATATATCAAACACGCAAATATAAATAGCCGTGTGAAACGCCACGAAAAGAAGAAAACAGAACGTATTTTACGCGAATTTAGAATAAATACAAAACGTCTGGGATGGTTTTTTCAAATGCGTCCATAAATTCAGTGAACGATTGACCTTCAATGGTTGAAATATGTACGAGAAGGACATGAGGACGACTTTTTCCAACGTTACCATTTATCGTCTTACCTATAATATGACAATATCCCATACACAACACGCACACATAATTAACTGCCTCTGTGGCCGAACGGTTACCATACCGGACTACCACGCAGAGGTTCCAGGTTCGATTCTCGGGCCGGAAGAAATATTTCGATACCTCCCACGTAAGTTGTAGTAAGTCAAACACCATTTTTTGCTTTTGAACTTAAATATATACTTTTTATGTATATTATGGGTTCAATGTTTAAAAGTAACCATAACATTAAGTAATTTCCTGACTTTTAAATATGAAATCTATAACAAATATTAAGAATATTAATAATAAAACCCGTGACCAGCGGTGCGACGTATAAATGGGTTGATAAGGACGGTGATGATGATGTCAGGATCGAAGTGGAAATCTATAGTCTATAGCCTCTGCCTACTTCAATAGAAGACAAGCGTAAAAAGAACAATGTACATATCTTACTTACAAAACTAACTTAACCGGTATATACATGCAATGGTTATTAGGATTAACCAACTGGAATTTAACTTTACAGTTACCCGTCTGTTCAATATAAATCTATCACGTAATGCCAGATCTAAATTCCGTCTACGTCTAGATTTAGACTCCAGGGATAGCGCTAATCAAGCTGAGTTAGGACCTGTGGATGTAATTATATCTGCTACAGAAGCAGACTGTTGACATGTTCTGTTCAGTAGCTGTAATTTATTCATTATGCTTGAGAAGTTTACTGTTTTATGAGATGTAATTGTAAGTAGACAATTATATGGTATTTTATATTTTAAACATGTGAATGTGGTTGAAGTGGTAGCTCAGCACGGAAGAAAAAACACTGAAACGGCTATCGCCAAACACACTTAAACAAAATGACAAACACTGCGAAATGTTGACAATGATTGGTGATAGTTTCTAATTTAAAAAGATGTAACAAATTCTAGATTGGTAATATAATTTAAATTAATAAAATTTTTATTGAATTGATATTCAATTATTTTTTGTGAAAATTAATACAAAGATCGATCGATTAATAATTATAACAAACTAGTGGAGTAATTTCACAAAAAATAATTGAATGTCAATTCAATAAAAATTTAATTAATACAGTGACTAGCGACATCTCCCGCCAGGACTGGTAGCTGTAAAGGTACTAACTGGGTGATAAATCTGTAATAGATTTCTCATAGTTGGCGCTACGACTAAAAAGTCGTTGAAAGACCAAGTACAAAGACACGACGCAAGCACATAGAAAATTCGCGAGGTCCGTTGGTTCGTTCCGTGGCTTAGTTGGTATAGCGTCTGGCTCGGTATGCAAGAAGACGTCGGTTCGAATCCGACCGGATCGAAGGAAATTTTTCTGAGTGTTCGATCTTTGTATTAATAATTATATAATTTAAACTTTACCCAGTCGCTGTGTTGTTGAAACTTCAATGCCTTTATTGCAAGTTACCACGTTTCAATTTTATATTGAAATTTTATTCAACGTGCTGCCATCTTACGGCCAATAGCTGAACTACGACGAACGATTAACATCCGAATCAATTCGATGAACAGAAACTTGAAAATGTATTATAATAAGAATTACAGAGGTTATGAAATCTAGTATTTCGGGTAGTATTTTTGGTGCGGCTATCATTATAACTGCCTCTGTGGCCAAACGGTTACCATGCCTGACTGGCACGCAGAGGTCCCAGGTTCGATTCCCGGGCCGGGAGAAATATTTGTATGACCTACATTTGTTTCTCCCGTGAGTTTGGGTGTAATTTGTGGTTGTCTATATGTGTGTCCATGGTACCCGCGACACAGGGTTTCCCTAGTGCGGGGCTATGTTGAGTGTGTGTTATTAAATTAAAAAATTAAAAATTAAATTTTGGCACTCCAAAACAGCACGATAAGGCATTTTTCTGCAATTTTATAGAATTTGCACGGAAGAATGACATAACCTTACCATACAAAGCGAAAATGGGGAACTGAGATCAAATAGGTGTTACGAGACCTAATGTTGTCACGCGTCAGATGCTAACTAACCACGTTTACTGTATTTAGTGTTCTGTATAGCCCTGTGAGAGAATGTTTCTCAGGTGAAAATTTTTCTAATGCCAATAACGGTGGGACTAACAAGTCGTGCGCCTGGTAGTAAGCAGACGTACGAAGCTGTAACGGCCTTTACGTAGCAGTTGCAGTGTAACTTTAAATCGCAAAGATCTGAGAGGCACTGCCATTACGCCTGTCGGCCTGAGACACAATTAAACTAAATTATGTCAAAGTCAAATAGTCATTTATGCCATAGGTAAAATTTTTACACTTGAAAACATTGACTTACAATTATATGGACGTCGGGTCCGCGCTAAAAAGTGTCCGAACTTATAGGGCGTTAAAATCGTTTACAGAGCGTCATTCACGCTTTAGTCTTCGTTTGTTAGACTGACAGCGAAGCTAGCAAAATTAGACAGTACTGCGATGACATTACAATTTAAATTCAACGTTTTAGCTTTTTCATATTCCTTTACATGTCACTACGTCTAAATAGGTTGACTTGGGACATTTTTTTCGTGGTTTTTGTATTAGACCCGTCGTCTATGGAATACACTTTGAATCATAATTGTGTGGAATGGACTCTTGTTGTCTTTCCATACATCTTTATCAAACACATACTCTTCAATTTTGTAATATGACTTTTCAAATAAATTACTTTTAATGTAAGTTTTAAACTTAATATCGTGCTGTTAATACAATAGTGTATTAACTCAAAAAGAGGACTTTCTCAGAATCGATGAAAAACGAATTACTCACTCCCCACAAAAAAATTATCAAAATTTATGTTTATAGTTTATTATAGACACTTAAACACTTTCTCAAATAAATTTAAAAATAAAATGGCAGAAATAATTTCATGTTTTTGAATAAGGATTATTTTGGCCAGTACAAGCTCACATAAAGTGTGTCCCATTTTGTGTTGAGTGGATATCTTTTGATTATTTCTTACAATATTCTAACGACGGTTTTTTTGACGAGATTATGATGAGACGATGTTAAGTTTCACATATTTTGAGTTACAATGCTGTTGTAATAGCAGTGCGATATATTCTCCGGAATCTTATTGTAAAAACGTATACAGTTTCCCATAAAAGAATTGTTTACCTTAGTTAAACGAAATCGTGGTCCCATGAGTTTGGACTCACTTTTAAGGTTAATGTTATCGATACCTTCATTCTAAACGAAATTATGTATATTTTTACGGGCATACAAAATATTTGAGTAAATATACTGTGATGCCACAGCCATGATATCAGTCTACTTAAACTTTTCTCTGAGAGAAACCCGAGGACCTAAACGGAACATAGAACGAATCGCTCGTTTTTGCGACCCAAATATGGTTTGTATATCTGCCTTTAATATAACATACTAACTTTACTGTACCACCAAATATACCAAATTGTAATTGAATACCAACATTTGTAGATAACCCTTAGATTAGAATTCCATTTGTGGTCTTATCCGTAACCGGGAGCTACACGTTTAAATCTCGCCAGTAGCAAGTACATGTACACAATCTGACCACAAACTATATTTAACCTTTCCCCCGCCTTCCTACCGCATTGGCCACACGGGTAACTTAAACCACGTTAACCACATTTGCTGCCTAAGTATAATATTATGCGACCAAGCCTATTTCTGCCGTCATGTAGTAATGTAAGCATTAATGCGTTGCAGTTTAAGTGCAAGGATGCCGGTAAAGTCGTCAACTTTATACCTGAAAGTGACGAGCCGACAATGCCCATCAGTTTGTAGCGATTTAAAGCGTTGAGTGGTTACTGTTATGGGCAGACGTGTCGCTTACCACCAGGCGCACGACTTGTTTGTCTTCGTCATTTGATATGATAAAAAATGTAGTAGGTTTGACTGGTTGACTGTAGACAGGTTTGTCTTTTTGGACAAATAAGCCGTGCGCCTGGAGGTACGCGACACGCCTATCCTTAACAGCTGCAGTGCCACTCAGAGCTTTAAATCGCAAAGATCTAAGGTAAGATGGCCGTACTTCCCTGGACGAACTCCCTCACAAGGAACTCTACTGCTACTTAAATGTTAGCTAATGTTATGTATGTGTTTTATTAGAGAAATAATGTACTAGATAAATTTATTTTTAATAACAAAAAAAGCCATTTATATACAAAATGTCACGTCTATCTTACAGTTCAAACACCGAGGCAAAAGCGGAGGCCGAGCGTTACGAAACGCGGGAACACTAAAATCCGTTGCCCACCGTACCGAACTTGCAACTAGAAATCCGCGGGTAATAGGTCCCCGATTCTACGAACATCTACCCACAGACCTGAAAAGTGTTAGAAACGATGAAACGTTTTGTACCCGACTAAAAAACCTTTTATTGGATATTGAATTGTACAGTGTCGATGAGTTTCTTTTGAAACAATTTTTATTTTATTTTATTCGACAAGCAGTAGTTGTACTACTTTATTTTATATTCATTATTATTATTACAATTTTATTACTGACGATCATAGTTATCCCTTGACATTGTATTTCCAATTGCAATATTATGACATTTGTAACATGAAATAAACGATTCTATTCTAATAAAACTGGGTGAAGGCGTAGAAGGGTTGGCGCTGGAGTCGTTTGTATGCGTTCAGTTTAGTCACTCATCTGGCTTCGTCTTTTGATACGATTGTCATATACATATAGAGGTATATGAAAGTATGTTTTCGGTTACTACTACGTGTACGCCTTTTTCGTCCCGTCATTTGGTATCATAAAAAAATGGTAAATAAAATCATACGTCTTCATAAGTTAAGGATAATAAAAAAATACTAACCTCAAAAAGTTCGTGGAGTTAGATAGTTTACTCGTTTATTTGCTCAATCACAGTACATTACAAACAAGCTTATGACATAGGTACAATGGTAATCATTAAGAAAAAAACGTGGACAAGGTAACTGGAAAGAAAATTAAAAAAAACAGGTAAAAGATGTAAATGTGTAAGTTGTGTGGTTATATAATAATTGTAAATGAATGTGTGTTTTGCTTAGAGGTGTGTTTGTGTGTGGGTATGTAAAAAATAAGTGGAGTATGTGTGTGGTTTATATATAACTATAAAACAAAGTATTTATTTTCCAGAAGCTTGGAAGGAGGCACTTGTGAAACCCCTACCAAAAGTTAATAACCTCACAGAACTAAAAGATCTCCGACCTGTTAGTATACCTACTTCCTTTCATGTCGAAAATAATTGAAAAAGTCGTATGCCTTCGTCGTCGTATGCTTACCGAGTTTTTGAGTTCAAATAATATTTTACCTTTGAAACAGTCAGGATTCCGAGCTGGCCGCAGCACAGCGACCGCCTTAATGGATGTTATTGACGATACCCTCGCCGGAATCGATGTAGGGAAGGGATCAATAATCTCTTTACTTGATTTTTCACGCGCGTTCGATACCATTAACCATGAGCTTCTTTTGGCCAAATTATTGTTTTACGGTTTCGACAACCAAGCGTTAAAGTGGTTCTCTAGTTACCTAAGTGGTCGCTCACAGCGAGTAGAAATTATTGGTGATACTGAAATCAAATCATTCTCGGAGGCGCTTCCTATAGGCCGAGGGATACCGCAGGGGTCTATATTGGGTCCAATCCTCTTTAATTTGTATAGCGCAGACTTACCAATTAACATTAATAATTGTAAGCATCATATCTATGCGGATGACGTTCAAATATACTTATCCTTTAAACCTGAACACACTTTATCTGCAGTAGCTAGTATCAACGCCGATCTTGAAGGAATTAGTGAATGGGCAAATAGAAACTGCTTAGTTCTAAACCCGCACAAATCAAAGTTTCTCGTTCTTGGATCTGCCCGTCAAATAGAGAGAATAAATGTTTTTATCCCAGCCTTAAAATTGGAGGAACTGTAATTGAGAAAGTAACAGAAGCGCGAAATCTCGGAGTTCTTATGGATAACACTCTAACTAACTAACTAAGTTCCACAACCATGTTGTTGAAACAGTTAAAAACTGCTTTTACAGACTTAAAGTTTTGTATCAAGTACGCAACTACCTGGATGTTGATCGTCGCATTATGCTCTGCGAAGCTTTGATTCTGTCGAAGCTGAATTATGCAGATACCGTCATTGGTGACTGCCTTTATGGCTACACTAAAAAGCTTATCCAACGTGTTCAGAACGCTTGCGCTAGATTTTGCTTTCCGATCCCGCGACGGGCTCACGTTACCCCGTTTCTCAATAAGAGCAATCTAATGAATATGAAGACTAGGCACTCCTATCATTTTGCCTGCTTGCTTTTTGGCATTGTTCAGACAAAGTCACCACTCTATCTGTAC